TACTTTTTTTTAAAAGACCCACAATTTTGGGAGGAGGGTTTGCTCTCATTTTTTTATATACCACTCTCCCACTCCTCTATATTCCTCTCACTCCACTCCTTCTCCCTCCTCCAAACTGTGAGCTGCACTTCATTATCTCTCCCAACCAAAATTTACAGTTAAAAAAAATTTGAAACCTTAAATACTTTAGAACTTAATTGAAACTTCTTAATGAAACACAAAATAATTAATATATGATAAAATCTATAACTAAGAAGGTGAGAAAGGTTATATTTGCAACTTTTAAAAAATTACAAATGTACCCCGTACCCTTCTTAACTCTTAAATATCTAATTTGAACATTAAAGAATTAAAACTCTTGAAACTTAAACTTAAATGTTCATTAATCATTAAGAAAACAAAAAATATAATAAAATTGATCAATAAAATTTAATTGGAGGTTCATCTATAATTTCTCAAAATTAAAAATATAACCTTAATAGCTATTCATTCCTTAAAAAAAGTAAATCTTACAAATATAAAATTTTAAAAGTTAAACTTAAAATCATTAATGAGAAGTCAAATAACAACGAAACATTAGAACTCATAGGTTTGAAATTGAATAGGGGCATGTTCGTAATTTTTTTAAATTACGACTATACCCTTCTCATTTTCAAACTTAAGAAACAAAGTTATTTATGCTGACATTATTAATTAATCACTTCAAAGTATTCATTAAAAAATGTTAAAGTAAAATAAATAAAATCCACCTCGAGACGAAGTGGTTTATGTTAAGAACAACCGGTTTATAAATATACCTCGCATGAACTAAAAACTTAATAAATTCATTAAGAAAAGTCTAAATCCAATGAAATATTCACTAGCAAATCAAATAAACAAAGAAGAACCTAGATATATAAAAATTAAACCAATTGAGTAAAAATCATTCAATAATATAATGAAAACCAAATAAAATCCATAAAATCTATAAGTTTATAAAACTTAAAAGTGAATCAAAACTTAAAATTGAACTGAATTAAACAAAGCCCACTTTGTAAAGTATTTCTAAATGAAGTAACCCGTACTTACTAACAAGGAATTCTTCGATTATTCATAACCAAACAAAGCACAAACACTTCCGACCACGATCATCTTAATCGAAAGATAATCATATTTAAAATAAAATTAATTAAAAGACAATCCGGTTTAAAAATAAATAAAAGTTAAATAAAATAGAAGTCCTAAACTCATAAACTTCAAAAGATAATAAAGCTTAAAGTAAACCCTTAATGAACAAATAAAACCAAATATAATTTAAACAAAAATAAATTCACCCGGGTTTACAATGGTCTCTTAAGATGACACAACCATAGTTGTTGACAAGAATCTCTTGGTCGGTTCTGGTCAACCATTGTTTCCGACTAAGTAGATCCAAAAAGTTAATGACTCCAAAATGATGAAACCATAAGATCTTAAATAGGATCATCTTAAATAAAATTTAATTAATCTTCTCGCTTCACACTCACTACCTTTTAGACGTCATAAGACACTACCCCTTTAGAAATCATAGGATTAGACTAGAATGTGATTGTGATTGCTTTGTTTGTTCGTTAGACATTTGTTAGCACGAGTAAAAAAAATATTATTTTTTTACATGTTCTAAGACTGTTATAGTAAGTTTAGGATGTGCTAAACTTTTTTTTGTTAGAGCTGATGTGGTTAAAACTACGCTGTCATAGTAACATAGGTTTTCTTTTCTATTCAGTCATCTTTTCTTTTTTAAAGTTAAAGTGTGTTTTGGCCGGTCTACTATTAATATATGGACAATCCAAAAAAGGATAAACATGAAGCGAAATGATGAAACTCAACCAAACCAATAATACTAATTTGGATGATGTTTATTGATGAGTATGACATAGATCTAGGGTTGATACCCTTTTTATCATCTCTCTCCTTTTGTTTATGCTCATCTTTTGTCAGGACTATCAGTAGCCTCATTAAAGATTATATTTTCTACCCAAATAAAATCACTTCAATCTAATTTTTTAAAATTAAATGAAACTCATAACTAAATCAAAATTGCACAAAACATTGCATTCACAACCTTAGTAAGGCATATAAAACAACCAAATTGACATTAAATAAAATTGAGTAGGAATACCTTTTTGATTTAGGAATAACAACAAAAATATCATCTTAGGCATGTGCATTATATATTTTCTCTATTTTTTATTTTTCAGGCCATCACTCATTGCATAAAAAAATGTGATATGTCACGTGAGGAACACCACTTTATAAAGTGAGTTTATATTTGCATATTGATTAGTCTTATGAATAGATCTTCTAAACATTCATCATCAAGAACTTGCATAACATATCACACAGCTTGCTTTAATCACTCGACACTAAATCCTTACCTCCTAGGCTTTCTCACAACCATATATCTTACGATCTAAATTCTAATTTTCTAATAAAAATGTCAAGATGAAACATAGAATAAACTTTTTTTTTTCTGAAATCACTAAAGTCGAATAATATGATAATTGAGATGTTATTGAGCAGCCTTAGTATCTTCGACTTCCTCTACATTTTCTTCTTTTGAGTTATGTTAATAACTCTTCCACTTTTGAGTTGTTTTCATTTCAAATTCCTAAAATTAATCGTGGAAGCTTAAACTTAAAAATTTCTTGAAGAGAAAACCACATCCTTAATCAAGAGTTGTCTTAAGTAACTTTTTTTTTCTTATTTGTAATCAACTATAATAGTTTGCCCTTATAAGAAGTTTGTAACCTAGATTTAATCTAAATTCTATCTAGTTTTTTGATTAAATATAAAAAAAATTGTAATTTTAATAGTAAACGATTACAAAGATCCAATATTTCTTAATGTAAGTCTTAAACCCATCATAAAGTGGTATTTCTATCTCTCGAGATAATATATTACTTTCTATATCGTGTTTGATTATTTAAATAATTAAATCTTCAAATTGATATGATTATATAAAGACACCCTCCCTGTTGAAAAATAAAACCGATAATATTCAACCATTACCATAACATATTCTAGCCATCCTTTGGCAGGAGGAACCAGAACAAAAAGATCCATCCCCCATATCACAAAGGGATAGAGACCAGTGATTGGTTATAGCTTGTGTCAGGGTTGTAGCTGCATAGGGTCGAATTTCTAGCATTATTCACTTCTTTTCTCAAATTAGGCCAGAAGTATTCTTATTTACTAATATTTTAACCAATATTTTGCCTTTAAAATGACCACAACATTCTTGAGAAAATTTACTTTAAGACATCGATCATCCCATTTTCCTTGATGCACCTAAGAGATAGAAGTAAATGATTTTTTGATTAATTCATCATTGGTAATCGTGCACTATGCAACTTTGATCTTGAACTATCTCGGTTCTTTAACACCTAATGGGATGACTCATGTTGATAGATATTCCTTGATTGCATCGATCCAACTCGAAGCCACCCAAAGGAACCATTTCAAAATTTTCAACATTAATAAACTTAAAGTGAAAAAACCCCTCGTAAGTAAAAAAAAACCCAATCGAGCCTTTTAAGTTTTCAAATCTTATCAACGACTTGAAAAATGCCATCTTAGAGATGTGTTTTACTTAAAACATTACCTACATGAATAAAATCCCACTCTTTTGATCATTATTCAACTTCAGTATCAAGAAAAGATTTTATCATCTAGAGTATGCACGAGACATAAAAAAGATTAAATTCTCAAGAAAATGGGAAGATAAATATATTAATAATTTTCAATTTATGGTCCGTATGAGGCAGTGGTGTGGTGGTTGTGTGATGTTGCACAACAACTTTTTGTGTTTGGCAAGACTGCATTTTGTCTGTATTCTAAAAAAGATGTAGTTGAAAATTGTGTTTTCCCACCAAACTTGATTACATGCGGCGACTGCAAGAAAACTACGATTTGACTTTTTAGTTTTTTTTGTAATAGTCACCACAACTTTTTGAACAATAGTTTCTTCATCAGCAGCTTCACAGTTGCTTCTTCATATAGTTGCAACTGTCTCAAGCAGAAGATAATATTATGTGGGGAGTTCAGACATTACTCTACGTCCGGACTCTAATAAAAAATTAGATTATTTACATATTTTATTCACTCCAATACAGTTGTAAGGTTCTAAAATACATGATTTGAATATCAGGATTCAAAGTATGACATAAACACATAATTGTTCTGAAGAAAAACTCAGATACAACCGTATTGTATTAAACAACACATATAAATAATCCTTAAATTCACTATAATGAGGACAAAAATGATTCTAAAATATAAGATTTGAATGCAAGGGTTCATAGTATGTCATAAAATACGATTGTACTGAAGAAAAATCTCAAATACGACCATATTGTAATAAATAAAGTAAGGGTTAATAGTGTGTTTAGGGATTATTTACTTATTTTGTTCAAGACAACACGTGTTTTATGTCATACTATGAACATTTACTTTTAAATCATTTATTTTAGAATCATTTTGTCTCATTATAGCAGATTTAATATAATATTATTTATATATTTTGTTCAGTAGAACAGGGTTGTATTTCAAGATTTATCTTCAGTCGATGTTTATAACACTCTATGAAACATTACATTCAAATAATGTATTTTAGAATTATTTTTATTACCGTTATAACAAATTTCATAATTATTTATATATTTTATTTAGTACAATATAATTGTATATGAGTTTTATGTTATATATAACAGTGTGTTTTTGTGGTGCTATGAATTTGTGGATTCAAATCATGTATTTAAAACCTTACAAATATATTTTAATAAATAAAATATATAAATAATTTAATTTTAAATTAGAATCCTCACAGTAGTAATATTTTCTCCAAACAGACCCGTGGAGTCGGGAGTCGGGAGTCGGGTGAGAGACGCGAATAGAACCAGCATGCGGCACAAATATTTTTCTCGAGTTGGGTGAGAGACGTGAATAGAACCAGCATGCGGCACAAATATTTTTCTCGTTAGCTTCCTGTAGGCGGCGACGGCCACAAAGCAGAGCATCTCCTCGGCAATGTCAGAGAGATAGTGGCTGGATTTCACGAGCTTCCCTTCATCCATGGAAGCCTCCACACTCTTCCCATCCCTCCACTCTCTTCCTTCTCGCTTTCTTCACAGTACTAAATTTACCCTAATAACAATTTTTTCTTCCCTTCTTCTTCCCCCTCTCACATAACCCTAATCTTCTTCTCAGGTTCCGCATCTCTCAATCCAAGAAGTATCCACTGCGCAACGCTACGCAGATCCCTATCCTCCATGGCAGCCGCCATTTCCGTTCCCAAATTCCTCTCCTCTTCGTTCCCCACTCGCTTCCTGAGCAGATAATCAACAACGCGCCGGATCCTTCGCCATCTCCATCACCGCCGCCCCTCCTAGCGAACTGGACCCCTCCTCGTCCCCTATGGCGCGGCATCTCGGTACTTATCCTTGCCGGCCAAGTTATCCAACGCACCCTCACCTTACGTGTCCACCGCCGCAATACTCTCCAACAACTTGATCGTGTCGGGCCGCGCTCCCTTGGCGTCTGCCTCCTCACCTCCGCTTTCGTCGGCATGGCTTTCACCATCCAGTTTGTACGTGAATTCACTCGTCTCGGCCTCCAGCGGTCGGTCGGCGGCGTCCTCGCCCTGGCCTTCGCACGCGAGCTCAGTCCTGTCGTCACCTCTGTCATTGTTGCCGGCCGCGTTGGCAGCGCGTTTGCCGCCGAGCTCGGCACTATGCAGGTATCCGAACAGACAGATACACTCCGTATCCTCGGCGCCCATCCCGTTGATTACCTTGTCACACCCCGCGTCATCGCTTGTGCTGTCGCGCTCCCGTTCCTCACACTCTTCTGCTTCACCGTTGGCCTCGCATCTAGTGCGCTTTTGGCTGACACGGTGTTTGGCGTTAGCATTAACATTATTCTCGAATCTGCACGCCGTGCACTACGGCCGTGGGATATAATCAGTGCAATGATTAAGTCGCAGGTGTTTGGTGGGATAATTGCCGTGGTTAGTTGCGCCTGGGGAGTTACTACACTTGGTGGAGCTAAGGGCGTTGGGGAGTCGACTACTTCGGCTGTGGTTATTTCTCTTGTTTCCATATTTATAGCTGATTTCGCCCTTTCTTATTTTTTCTTCCAGGGGGCGGGGGATTCTCTTAAATATGCCATGGGCTAGGCTGGTGGTGGCTCCGCTGTTTGCAAAGCCAAGTTTTACCTCTTTCTCAAAGAAAGATGCTTCCTGTAGTAAGAAAAAGCGATCGTATCAATCTTGTTAAGTTAGGCATGTACATTTTGTTTCGGTTTGCTTTGTCCGTCTCTGGCAGCATGGTTTTGTTTTCCTCTGAATTGCAGAAGCTGTAATTTTTTAGTAACATAAGGATGTGTGCATAGAAAAGATCGAACCCATTATTGAAATTATGTGGAATTATTTCCCCGTTGAAGTATTTTTCTGGGCTCACTTTTATTAGGCCTTCTAATGGCAAAATAAGTTTCCCAATTTTTCTGTAGCACATCAGACAAAAATGGGATTGGTGCCATTTTTCCCTCCACTAATTTGAATTTTTATAAAGAGATAAGCTTTACAATTTATTTGCGATCATCAATAGTTTGCGTTGTTTTCTATGGCTGTTAAATTGCATCACCTTAAGGCTGGATGTAATGGAAGGGGAGCAAATGAAATATATGGCCAGTCATGATGAAGGAATTGGATTGAAATTTATCTGCATTTTATCTGCATTTATCTTCACGTTTTGGAAGAGGAGAAATGTGATAGAAAACTAATCTTCTTTTATTATTTGGTTTTTAAGTAAATGCATGGGAGGTTGCCTTGTATATCTGGCTTTTACCTCTACATTGTCAATTTCTTCTTTTAGGTAATCACTTGCTAGAGCTCCTCTGTGTGGACATTGATGATTACGTGACCCACCAGATATTGCATTTTGGAGTTATTGTATTAATCCTTGTTTGTATTTTATTAAGGAGATGAACTTTGCTCACATGGGAGGGAGGGAGAGTTTGGGCATCCTTAAAGGGAGTTTTTTCAGCATGAGGGGGGAAATAGGACCTTGCTTGAAGCAGGATTTAATCTTCTCAATTATCACGACGTGGTGTCCAAGTTATATTGACTTCCTAGAGCCTATTCTACTTGATGACGAACATGTTTAATGGACTATAAATTTGTGTTTTGTTTCTTGGTGTTAGTTTGAATGGTTGCATGGGAATCAGAAAATGAATAAGAATGAGATTAACCAGTAGTGGAAGGCAACAAAGTAGAGAGATGAATTCAGACTACCAAAATGGGGCTAGTGGTTTACCTTAGACTTCCACTGGGTTGCTTAGCAGTTTTATTAGAGATGGATATGTTGTGAAGGCTATTTTGGAAAAGGAAAACCTAAGGATTACAATAGTCAGGTAGCATAATTTTTGCCTCCCTCCATTTTACTTGCATGAGTGAATTTTATAGGATGCATACACAAAAATATACACGAACAGTCATAAATCATATGTTTGTATATGCAAGGCTAATGTATAAGTTTTTTGAGCGGTGGCACAATGGAATAATAAGATCATTGCATGCAATTAAAAAAAGAAATTCTTATATCATTTTGAAGAAAGGTGGAGAAATAATATTCTCTTATTCCATTGTATTCAAATTATAACTTTCTCCTGATTGTATTGGGAATGTCTATAACAAACATAATTAAGGCGATTAGAATTTACCAAATACAAAACAAACAATAATGAAAAGACAACAATATAATAAGAAACATAATAGAAAAAAAATAAAACTTAAATAGGAAACTCCCTCCAATAGCTTTCACAAATTAAGTTTTTGGGGCCCATATGGCAAGCTGTCTGAGCCACCTAACAAGGGCAGCTCACACTCCCATTCAAACTAGGTCATAGATGTTTTAAAGATCCACCTTGGTATTCAAATCATTGAAGCTGTCTAGAGGTAGGGATTTAGTGAAAACATCCACGACTTGAAGATGAGATGGAATGTAGATTAAGTGAATAATGTCGTCATTAACAGTTCATAGATAAAATGTCTATCAATTTCAATGTGTTTGGTCATGTTATGATGCACATGTTTTTTTTGCAATATTAATGGCGGCTTGACTTTCATTGAACATTTTTATCGGATTAATTGTGGATCATTTCAACTCATTTAATAATATTTGGATCTACATTCCGTCACAAATTCTCAAAGTGCTCAGTACTCAAATTTGCACTACTTTTAGAAATCATTGCTTGCATTTTACTCCTGGTCACAAGGTTTTCCCATACATAGGAACAATACCCAAATGTTAATCTTCTGTCGGCGAGTTTTCTTTCTCAACCAGTATCAATGTAAACTTCACCTTTATGTTGTCTGATTTTTTAGACAATAACCCTATACTAGGGGGGCTTCTTAAAAAACCTTAATGTTCTGTAAACCATGTTTAAATAGTTTTCATTTGAACTATTCATATGTTAACTCATAATGTTGATAGAGTAAGCGATTTCAATTTTATTGTGTGAGAGAGATAATCTTACCCATTCATCTCTGATATCTACTTTTGTCCACTGGTATCATTTTTCTAACTTTTTATTGAAATCAATAGGAGTTTCAGTAGGTTTACACCATAACGTTTCCGTTTGTTTTAGTAGCTCTAGGATGTACTTTCTTTGGGAAATCACAATTCCCATCTTCGGGGACTTTGCCGCTTTCATGCCCAAAAAAGTATCTCATAACTTCTAGATCTTTGATTTCAAATTCAGCGACAAGAACATCCATAATATTTCCAATCTCCTTTTCATCATTACCTGTAAGGATCATATCATCTATATAAATAATGAATATAGTTTTCTTAGCTCCCTGTGCATGCTTTATGAATAGTGTATAATCAACTTGGCATTGGATGTGCCCATTTTATTTCCTAGTTATGACAACCTTGTCAAAGTAAGCCCGTGGAGATTGTTTGAGGCGATAAAGTGGCTTTCTTAGTTACAAATCAGATTTTTATTTGAGGTATATTTTAGTCATGGTAATATCTCCATATACGCTTCTTCCTCAATGTCTCCATTAAAAAAAAAAACATTCTTAATATCAAGTTTATCTAATTCCAATTGTTTGTTCGTTGCCAAGGAAAGAGCTCTTACAGTGTTTAAATTGACTATTAGTGCAAAGGTCTTGTGATGGTCTATCCCATAAGGCTGAGTGAAACTTTTGGCCACCAACCTAGCGTTGAATCTCTCAATGCTTCCATCTATTTTGTACTTGACATTGAACACTCATTTGCACCTAGCAAGCCTTCTATTCAAAGGAAGCTTTGTCAATATTCATGTTCCATTTAAATCAAGTGCTTGATCGCCTTTCCAACTATCCTTTTTCATTCTTGACTTTGAAGTGCTTCATGAATAGACTTGAGTATGTGCAAACTATTAAGATTAGTTGAAGAAGCTTTGTATAGTGATGATATCTTTCCATAGGCAACATACTTTTGGATATCATAATTTGTGCAATTTTTTCCATCTTCTCTACAAGACCATAGGCAACATACTTTTGGATATAATAATTTGTGCAATTTTTTCCATCTTCTCTACAAGATTCACCTCTCTTGGAGCTTTGGAGACGTGTGAATTTAGGTTTGGTTGTGAATTGTCTTGTGGTTGCATATTTTCTTTATTCTACTTATTGAATTTCTTTCTCTTTCTCCTAGTATACACATAAAGTTCCTTGTGTATTTCCTTCTTGTCAATCTCGGGTTGGATATCCTCAAGTGGAGGAACTTGGGAGTCAAGATGGTTAATGGGATGTAGAATATGTTGTGATGACTCTAGATTAGTGTGGGTATCTAGAGTAGTGTTTTAAATATGATATTCACCCAAACTCTCTCTCTCTCTCTGAATTTCAGATTTGAAGTAGGATTGTTTTTCAAAGAAAGGAAGATCCATGGAGTTATAATTTTTTTTTAATGGGAAACTAGCACTTGTACCCCCTTTTATTTGAAGCATATCTAATAAAGATATATTTGATGAATTTTGGGTCAAATTTTGTGCGTTTTGGTTGGTGAATGTGAACAAAGAGACAACTAAATATTTTTAAAGGAAAATTTGATGGGAAGGCTCTAATATGAGGTTATGTTTCTATCAAAACATCAAGAGGTGCTTTGCATATAAGTGTCTTGCTTGACATTCTATTAATGAGGTGGGTGATTGTGAGCAGTGCATCTCCCTCAAAAAAATTTTTGGACATTGTGAGAAAACATTATAGACCTAGATATCTCGAGATGTTTATTCTTCCCCTCAGTTATCCCATTTTGTTGTGGAGTTTCAATACGAGAACTTACATTGATGATTCCATTCTTTGTAAGATAGGGTCCATTGATCGAGTTGAAGTATTCCTTTGTATTATCTATTTTGAGAATCTTAATTTTGCAGTAGAATTGAATGTAAGTCATTTCTTGAAAAGAGTAAAAGATTTGGGTAGTTTTAGATTTCTTCTTCATGGGAATATCTAGTTGGTTTTAGTGTGATCATCAATGAAGGAGACAAATCATCTGACTCCATTGATGGTTTTCAATTTTGATGATCCCCAAATGTCACTGTAGATAATAGAGAAAGAATGTAAGGATTTATACTGAGATAAGGGATATACATGATAGGTATGTTTTTCCAATTGACAGGTTTCACACTAATAAAACTGTGACTTTTTATTAGTAAAGAGATGGAGGTACAACTTTGCAATATAATGAAAATTGGGATGGCCCAGACGATAATGTCATAATAAAATTTGACTTTTAACAGACTCTGACACAACCAACTCATAAACATGGGAAGCTGATGGTGAAAATGACACTTGTGTGTTAAGAAGATAATTTTTTTTAGCGGATATAAAGTTTGATACGATTCAACACTTCAAATCAGCTTCCCTGAATTCACCACCTGAATTTCACGAGAGTTTGAATGAAATTATAACATAGTTCACAATCAGCTTCCCTGAATTCACGAGAGTTTGAATGAAATTATAACATAGTTCAAGTCACGTGTAAGTTTGCTAATTGAAAGTAAGTTACAATCTAGTTGGATAACATATAGTACAAAAGAAAGCTGAATACCTTTAGAGATTTTCACTTTTCCTTTTTCAACAATCTTGGAATGAGATTCATCGATAATTCTAATAAATTCAGAGAAGGTGATCTCTTGATAGTTGGTGAGAACACGAATGTCTCCAATCATGTGATCAGAAGCACCTAAATTTTTTATCTAATGTCGAAAATTTCATTGTTAGCTAGATAGGAGGAGAAGATGATATATTGGTGTATCATCAAGCTAGTAGGTTGCTCAGTCATGCTAGTAAGAACCTTCTTTGACACCTCCAACTGTTTCTTGGCGAAGGGATTAGGGTCGGCCAACCCTTTAGTAAAGGTAGCAGCATGGTCCTTGTTATCTTGGTCCTTCC